CGCGCTGCCTCTCTCATGGGGTTCTTCGGCGCCAGTTTTGCATTTCCGGGCTTTTCAGCCAATCAGACGGGACCTAGTCCTGCCCCTGCTTCCGGCCACGGCTCCTCCCCTGCAGCAGCTGCTCCCCCCCCCACACACACAGAGGGGGTTCAGCGCTGTGTGGAGACACCGTGTTAAGTCAGTTTTGTCGGCTGACTCAAAGGACATTTCATGTTCGTGTAAGGAAATACCTGGTCCTTCACAGATGCACCTCGAAATATTTATCATGGATTTGAGGGACAAGAGCCTGGAGCTTAGTGAGCTGTTCTGCTTTGGCCCCTCCTAGTGGTGTTGAGATGTTTTCACTGTGTGCCTCAGTTTCCCAATCTGTAAAATACCATCCCAGGCTTTATAACTGGGACCCTGTGGAGGCCCTTCTTCCCCTTGTATCATGTTTTGATATGAGATGGTAGTTAAAATCTTTATGAAGAACAGGAAATGGTTAAGTTACTTGCACTGCTGCCCTCTTTATTTGTCCTTTATGCTTTTAGTGTAGTTTTAAAAAACAGTAGACATGAGCTGTGGATTCTATGATCAAAAGGGAAGAACAAGGAGGGTGCAGGATGGGGAGGGAGCCTGAGAGGTTGCTTGTCTGTCTGCAATGAGCTGGTATACAGCAAGCTACTCAAGCCTGTAAAAATAGGCACTCAAATACCACAGTAATGAGCACCATAGAAAGCTGATGAATTATAATTACCAGTAAAAGAAACAGGACAGCTCCTCAGCTGATGGAAATCACAGCAGCTCTAGTGCAAAAGCTGGGGTGATATGCACCAATGAACCCATGGGAATTCAGAGCTGGAACTATTTTAGAGCTGGTTAGTGAGGAGAAAGTGCAGGTGATCTGTGGCTGCAGTATTTAGCACTGCCCAATACTTAGAGGATTTCAAATGAGGTGCTGCCTCTCCAGATTTTCCCATGTCAATGGGATGAAGAGAAGACCACTCTTTAAAAGAGGGCCTATTGGTAATAATTATGGAGCTTTTCTACCCACTGCCACACACAAAGAAATATGTTTCTAAACAGCTTCCACCCCCTATTCAGCATGCAGCACCAAGGCTAATATTGAGTCAAGTACTCTGGAGACATGATTGAAAGGCACAGAACAATGAAATTAATCCTTTCAGAAATCATTGCTTCCCCCTCCATGAGCTGACCCTGCAGCTGGGAGGCAGGAGGCATCTCCTTTATCTGCTGGGGTTGCAAGGCATCATCTTCCCTGGCTGCTTTCTGGGCCAGTGCTGGTGGGGGCTGGATGATGGAAGTACTTCCAACTCTGGGATTTCCCCTTCGTGCCTGTTTTTGTGAGCTGACCAAGCTGCCCGGGGGGAGACAGATGCGGGTAGATGACCTAAATTGAGGGACAAATTCATACATCACATGCAGGAGATGGGAAAATTCCAAGCTCCTCACACACCTGGGCAATGTGCACTTGGGATCCCACCAAGAGGATGCATCAATTGTGTAAGGAATGTGACCATCCAGGGTCAGGGTTGTACAGCTCCTGAACACCAAAGTGGCTCTGTCCTCAGAAGCCTTGTGGTGGAAATATGCAAAGGACAAGGGGATGCTGTTACCTGGTAGGTTTAGTTAGCAATGTCAGTACTGTGCTGTTGTGTCTTGGTAAGCATCATGACAGATGAGATTTTTAAGGAGGGATTTGAAGAAAGATAATGAGGTAACTTGGCAGATGTTTATGGAGAGCTCCTCCCAAGCGTGTAATAATCTGGCTTTGTTGTATAAAAGAGCTGATACACACCAGAATGTATCTCTGGGATCAGGCATTCACTCTCTGCATTGTCAAGGAGCTTCTGTGACAGCAAAGAATTATTAATGGCAATAACATTGTGGTGTAGTTCCCAGTAATGGTAGGAAGTGATTGTGAGCACCAGGAGCAACATCACGTCGCTGCTGCGCTGGGTGTGACAAAATGAAGTCATTGCAATATATGGATTTGGCTTCTACAGGAAAATAATTACAGGAAAATAGTTTCTCATGAGCTCTGAGTTTAGAGATGGATCCTGGAAGATCTAGCTCTGGCACCAAACAGGGGATGGGCTTGTGTGGGTGTCACTTTGGTGGCTGTGATCAAACAGGAGAAGGCTGAACAAACTTTTGTGAGCAGCTGTGTGTGTTTGAGGGATGGTTTCTATAGGTGTGTGGCTTGTTGCTGTAGCCTGGGCAAGGCCTTTGGTGGCTCATTTTTCATACACTTGGAAGAAGGCTGACCTCCAGAGAGTAGTGGCTCAGAACCAGCCCATGTGTCATACCCGGGTGGGTTACCAAAAGCAGCTGCTGAGAAAGTTACTCAAGGCTCATGGAAGTCCATGGGTTGGGGCTGCATCCTGTGGGGTTTCTGGGGAGGTTTTGTCAGAGACCACTGTACACAGATGTGAAGAGGAAATACAGCTCGTGTGGGCACTGGAAGAAAAAGGTGGTTCCCAAAACAGATATTAAAAGGCCCCTGGGATTGCCAAATCTATTTCAAGTGTTTAAATTAGTCTCACTGCTGGAGTTAAGAACTGCATACCAGGGCACTCCTGGCTGTTACTTGCCCTTCAGGTAGACCACTAAGTAGTTCCACAGACACAATCAGAACCTTTTGGTGTGTTGTAGTTTTCAGACTGGAACAAACTGCTTCTGAAGACTCTGGAGACACTTCTTGCTCTTAGCTGTCTTGTAATGTGGCGTGTACAACAGCACTGCACAACACAGGCATGCAAGGAGAGATTAAAAGTTAATAAACAGTCATTCTGATGCTTTATATCTGAGCTGTAAATAGATAAAAGATACTAATATATTATAATGGAGGGGGGAAAAAAAAATGTCTCCTTGAAGGAAAAAGCTTGGGGAGTGGTAGTTTGAACCCCTTTCTCCCTTGAGCTACATGTTATACTTTGTAAAGACTTTTTTGGAGGCTGCTTTTGTTTGTGCTTGTTTCAAGGGTGTAATTACAAAGCCAGTGTGCAGGTTGTGTTTCTGAGTGATAACATGTTTCTTAGGTTGTTGGAGGGATACAACAAAGTGCCCCTGAGATGTTATGTTATCTTGCAGCTGCACACATTGTCTGAGTCTGTTGCTTAATCATCACCTGTGTGGGGTTTTCTTTGGTGTGGTTTGTTTTTTTTTTCTTTTTCCCCCCTGTCTTTTAGTGTTTTTAATCTGGGATAATATCTCTTTGAAGAGCAAACTTCTAGGTAGGAAAGAAAACCTTTGGATGAAAGGCTGCTTAAAAGAGCTGGCTACAGTCAGGGAGACACGCTATGGGTTGTAATTTACCTCTGTGCAACGTGTTAGCTGTGACTTGTTATATTGCTTTCTTGTTTTGCAGCTCGTTTCAGCAGCAGCAGTTTGGGCAGGCTCTCCTGGGAGCTGCTTTGCTTGTGTTCCGTGTGCATTTACCTTTAGAGGAAGGTTTTAAGAGAATTGCAAGAAGCTGAGTCGTGTCTCGGCTTTCCCTCGGCTCTGCTCCAGCCCAAGTGCCTGATTATTCCAGTTGCTCAAACTCCAGATGGGCTGCTTAATTGCAGCTGACGTGGTGGCATCTCGGTGGTGTTCAGGTCTGAGACTTTCAAACCCTGCCAAGGTGTGGAGAGCAGCAAACCTTGGTGTGTCTCTATTTGGCTTTTGATGAACCAAATGAACCAGGGACTTGCAGCCAGGTGCACCCAGTGGGACCAGCTTTGCCCGTAACTGTATGAGAATTGATTCTTGCACCTGCTCCCCT